AGGCGCATAATTTCAAATGAAAATTCCTTCGATCAAATCGAATGTAGCTCATAATAAAAGACATAACTAATTAGCTGTTATTTTTAACAATAAACATATCTTGGTTTATCATGAAAAGTGTATCCGTAATGATTCCAGTTCTGAGTTATAAAACCAAATTATATTAATAAAACCATTTTCTAAGTAATTAAGACACAATCGTGTGAATATAAGTATAATAAAAAATTAAAAATATTATATTATTGGTTTAAAAAAAATAAAACACTTTGTTTCGGTAAGTTCTCTTGCGTTAACGCATTGTATTATATTTCACTTATATTTATATATTTCTTTTCGTGTTTTTACTTCATTTAATTTATAGATCACCTAAACATTGTATAGTTTAGTTGTTAAGTAATAAATATGAATTTATTTATTTATTTTATTTTATTTTTTAACATATTACTAGGTTATGTATTATTTATTATTACTGTAGGCATTTATTTCACTACAAATACAGCATTACTATTTAAATATACAAATACATATTTTAAATGAACTGTCTACGTGTATGTAAATATTTGTTTCATTTTGGGGCCAAAGCTGGCGTTCTATGCAAATTCAACAAAAAAATAAAAATAAAAAAAATAATTATATACATACGGGTATATGCTATATACATATAAGTAGGCATATATATAGTTATAAGTATGCATATGCATTGAAATCTTGTTATTACATATGTATATAGTTTACGATTCGAACAGTCGGGTTTTTTAAATTATTTTTTTTCGTTTTTTTTTCTTTGTTTTTTTTTGTTTCTAGCATAGTTTTGTGTTTTATTTTGCATGCGTTCGAACTAACTTATAACTAGACAATTATTTCATTTTTTTCTTTTTTATTATACAAATATATCTTTGTTAGTTTGCTTTTATTTATGTCTTGAGAATGTCCCAAAAAAAATAAGTTAATTATAAACTTGACGCATAAAATAGTAATGTATGTATGTGTGTAAAAGTTGTTGCTTAATTTACACTCCAACTTAATATAATAGTTTCATAATTTGTTGAATAAAAACTAATAATATTTAATATATACCAACAACATACGTAAATATTTTGTGAAAATCTTGTTTGCTGATAAACAATTGTTTTTCTTTAGGCTAGAATTTTCAGTTTATGCTGAAACCCAATAACAATATTATTTATTATTTCTACATACTCGACTCATTGTACGGTCTATTAATTATTAAAACGTAATTTTACAAGTTGAGAAATTTGCACTTGCAAAAAAAGAGTAGGAAAATGCCGAGTGTATTAAAAATATATTTAAATAAATATAAAATCAAAAAAAAAAAATATTTAAATAAATAATACAATTCATTTAGCTACTGAATAGGTGAGTTAACTATTTTATTTCTGTTTTCTTATTTATTTATTTATTTAGTATGTATGTAGATGTAATAGGAAACAAAAACGCAGTTACAATTGTTTTTCATATTTTGTATTTATCAGTGTTTGTTATTGCTATCTAGTGCTTAAATACGATTTATACTATAATTATGATTTTTGTCTTCACGGGGAATATTTTGCTGTGAAACGAAACAGTTTGTTTTTGAACAAAAATTATACCATTTTAGAGAGGAAAAAATGGTAAATAAAATTAAAACTTGGTAAATTATGCCAATTATGACCAAAAAGTGCTTTCAAAACACTTTAGAATGTTTAATTTTGTTTTTGTGTTTTTAAGTACGCTCTTAGGTAAAGCACTTCATAGCATTTTGTGTGTGACATTAAGAAAGTTATGGAAGTGAAAATTTTGCTTTCTAGCACATATGTAGCTACCACTTTCCCCACGGAATATTACTTTTTTGTTTGCTCATATGTTTTTTCTATTTTTCTGTAATGCATGGGTAATGTATTTATGTAATATTTTAATTGCCATTACTGAATGGCGTTAAGGGGTAAAGCCACTCTAAGATTTTAGAAAACAAAATTTTTGTTTAATTTTTTTTTTTTTTTTTGTCTGCTCACAGGGTAAATTTGAGTCCCAGAAATGATATGCGATTGATTTTGAAGTGAAAAAACTATTTCAAAATAGTTGGACTTTCTATTTCTCTGCAGCCCCTTAGAGCGTGCGCTGAGTACAATGAAAACACATTTTTCAAACTGGGAGAACAGATTATTCGGACCATGTTACATCGATTTATCTGAAATTGTGATGGCAGTTTCACAAATAAATATATATATTTTTTTTTTTTTTTGAAGCACGTATCCGTTTTTCGATTAAATGTAAGTTTTTTTTGTTTTTTTTTTGTGGCTATTTTATATTAATTTTTGTTATAAGTAAACTAAAATCCTGTTTTTTTTTAATAATTTTGTGCGTATTTTTAGGCAAAAATCAATCAAAAAAAAGGTATGTCACTTTCATAAAAATTTGTTAAAAAATAAATCCGTACGTACTTCCAAGACCATCGTTTGTAGATCATAAAATTTTTTGCTGTTCTGTTCTAGGTCTCATCGTTTAGAACAAATCGGTTCCACCGTGAACGTCTTACAAAAAACCATGGATTAAATAATGAACTTTATCGCCGCCGGTTTGTAACAAAATATTAATTAAAAAATGTTTTTATATACTTCATACATATATACATATATCAAAGTAATGATTAAATAGAAATTCTATTCTTTTTCCCATATTCCTACAATAAATTTTTAACAAGGCGTCTATTTTTCAACCTCGAGAGTGACTTTACCCCTTAATAAGTGTACGCAAATGAGTTGCTATAAATGTTAAAACAACAATGTAAAGTACTAACGGAATATCCATACATTTATATAAACATACAAAATTGATTAACATGCACAGGCAACAAAAAATACTTTTAAAATTAGAAATATATATATAGATAATTTGTTTAAAATTTATTTAATTCAAACAAAAAATGCTTTTACAATTATTTGAAAACATTTAATAAAAAAAAATACAAAGTTGCTTGAATTAACAATAAATACAATAAATTCCTGTCTTTCACGAAACCATGTGTAAAGATAAACGGTATTTTCGGTATAGGACAAATATTTTGGAACACTTTTCTATGGTGTTTAAACAATCATGTTGGCAGTTAAGTGTTTTTTTTTGTTATTATTTAATTGATATTATTTTTCAATTTCACTATGTTTATTGAATGTTATTGTTATTGTATCAAAAAAAGAAAAAGAAAACAATATTTAATACTATGTGAACTGTTATTTTCTTTTGCCTCTTTACAACTACTACGTACAAGTATAATGTTGCTTTATGTAAGTCATTTTATTTATTATTATTTTTTCTTTTAAGAAAATAGTTGAATACAATTATTTATTTTTTTACTCAAAACATGTAATTTTTTTTAGCGAACTTTTGTGTTTATATACATACGCATGTATGTACATATGAAATTCGTTTTGCACATTCTTGCAATATAAATTATATACACAGTCAGTATAGCTAAGGAGAAAATGCATTTGAATTGAGCTAGAAAGGTGTTGAATTTGCAAGCATACATACATACATGAACATATTGTTAAGAGGAATTCTTAATATTGTATTTTCTGGAGAATTTTCTGTACTTTTTGTATTTAAAATAAATATTCTTAAATGAATTGAGTAAACTTTTTATTGTTATTATAAAAACAATGCTTGCTTACATATCTAAGTGAAATGATGAACAGCAGCAGCTAATTTTTGAAAACAAAACAATGTATGCGCCTTGGTCTCATAGCTCATTAATGAATGGAATATTTGAGATTGCACATGTGGAATATGTGGAGATGGTTTTGAGCTATGGAATTGTCTATTTTATTTAATATAATGGTTTCTTTAATGAAATGCCTTTAAGAAGTCTCAGAATTCAAACATATTTTTTCAGCAAATAATCATGTTTTCAAATATTTGAAACTACATTTTCAAGAATTATTTAATAAAAATGTTACATGCATTTTAAAAAGGCTTCATTCCTTCCATATACGTACAACAAAAAAGTGCAAGCAATATATTTCAAAATGTACATAACCTCAAATCAAACTTGATTACAGTTTTCTAAGAGAGCATTCCGTCGTATGTTGTATGTACGCAAATGTATGTATGCATATGTAATTTTGTAAATTCCAATAAAATCCCACTTTGCAGAGTTTTCTACTTGCATATCTCTTATAAGGTATGAATATGAATAGCTATAAAATAAACATAAAACAAATAGTTAATTTGACCAAAAAGTGCATAAAAGTATTATAGTATATTGTAAATATATATATAGTGGCGAGGAAAAATTTTTTGTACATTAGAAAGAAGAAGAAAAGAAAATACAAAATAATATTTCCTTTATTATGTTGATGCAGTTTTGGCATACATAGTATATGTATGTAAAGCAAAAAAAAAAGGCATTACACTTAAAAGAAATAAATGTTAATATTTAGGAATTTTAATAGTTTTGTTGTCCATGTTTTGAAAAAAAAAAACATACATTAGCCTTTATATATTACCTAAATTAAACTGAAACACGAATTTGAAATATTAAAAACAAAAAGAAACTTTTAAACCAAGTTATGCAGCGTCCTTGTCGATATTTCTAGGCCTAAAGTGTACCCTCCAATATTCAACTTGTCATTTCACAAATTTTTCGTACGTACATACGTGATGCATGTAGAGGAATATGTTGTATTTACATAAATAAAATTTCAATCTTTTATTCAGTAAATTCTATATATGTATTTATATTATTTGTGATATTTTTCTGCCCAATTACTAATTGTTTATTTTCTCTATCATTGCTTCAAATACATTATCCATATACGAGTACATACTACACACAGTTGAATCTTTGACTGCAATGCGAATAATGGAAAGGTTCCAAGTGAAATTATACAATATAATTGTAAAACATATTTTAATTTAGTTTAATAGTAATTTAATTGAAAAATTATGTTTGAATTTTGTAAAATTTTGTGAATTTATTCAAAACTTTAAACTTAAATGATAAAACATATGTCTAATTTCGAAAAAAAAAATTAAATTAATATTAAAAAGGAGAAAAATATTATATAAAGTTGCTTACAGAATACGTACATTAGTTACAATTTCATAGTCTTTTCTGAATCAATAGTTGTAAAGCAAAGTATATTATTAAAAGCAAAACAATTAATTTTTCAGTTGTCATACAATGATGCTTGATTGAAGTGTATTTCCATCTTTCACATATGTATGTATATTTTTAAATACCATAACTTAGGAATTTTCAAACATTCTGGCCTGACTTGTTTTGTCTTGATAAAGAAATTACTTTTTTTATCACAGACTATACTACCTAGACATACACACACACACTCTATATATATATATATGTATATTACAATTTCTATTGTTCAAAAACATAAATTCAAATGATCAGCGCTTTAATGTTATGAATGAAGACCAGTGATTGTAACTCAAAACACTGAAATATTTGGGTTTTGGTTATAAATACAATTTGTTGTTGTTGGTGTTGTTGTTGTTTTTGTTTATAACAACAATAGATACTATTTGATGTAAATTTATGTATCAGTTGCTTTAACATCCACCTTCAACGCTTGCAATCGTTTCTCACAGTACAAACTACCAATAGGCTTCGCCAGCGACGCAGCCAAACTTTTTGTTATTGTTAATGTTGTCGTGTTTGTTGTTGGCTGATTAATCGACGGTATATTTTCCTTAACAATTGTCGAGTTAATCACATCCTCGCTAACGGTATTCCTATTTGTAGACGTAATACAGGCAAGATCGCTATATCCGGCGTCTGTATTTGTATATTGCATTTGTGGCGCAATGCCCGCCGTGTATGATTGTCGCATGATTGGCAATCGATAATGGAAATTGGTGTTGCTCGCCGAGCTCGTCGACGATTCTGTATTTGTATTTGTATTTGTATTTATGAGGGATGGGGATATTTGGTTATTTGCATCTTCAATGGATTTTCCGCCATTCTCTTCAACGCCAGCACCCGCCGTACAGCCTTTACGCCGCAAAATTGTCTTAACAGTAGAGTTTACGGCAGTGGATGTCGTTGTAGTACCAGCAGCGGCAGCAGCAGCACCAGCAGCACTAGCGACAGCGACAGTGCTTTCCGTTTGCCAATTCGCACTATTACGGCTACGATCTGTAATGGGAAATTTATTTTTCGTACAACTCAAGTCCAATTCAAGCGTATAAAAACGTCCGCGTGTATACTTTTTATTTTGGTTCTCTAATATAACTGCTCCAGCACCTTTACTGCTGCTGTTGTTTGTTCCACCGACAAGTCCACAAGCGCTGGTAGTACTGATGCTAGTGCCAATGCTGCCGCTACTCACACTCGTACTTATATTCGCATTAAAATTCGTGTTGTTACTGCTCGTGATCACATTAGTATTTGCTGTACTACTACTACTACTACTGATGATATTGTTATTGTTGTTGTTGTTATTATTTAGGTTAACACGTTCCATATTGTTGTCCGAAAATCCGCTGGCCATTGTTGGTTGTCGAGAAACCGTACAAATACTGCTGCGATTACTGCTATTAGTCGTTTGTTCGCTACTACAATTACTACTGCTTATCGTCGGTTGACTGGAGGCTGTGCTTGTACATGTTGTATTACACGAAAATGCCGCAGTCGTTGAAGAGGCAGGGGTAATGGAGCACCGTTGTATCGTAAGGCCATCCACTTCATCGGTATCGTCATTGGCTGGCACTGATGGTACCGTTATCCATTGTGGTGTACGGTTAGCATCCTCGTAATCACTCTCATCACTATCGCAGGTTATGCGCAGCTCATTATGTACTTCGCGGCCCAACGACGAAGCAACACTCGATGCAACTTTTGTTGCTCCAAGATTTTTAGCCATCTTTGAACGTACATCTATTTTATCACCTTTTAGCTTAGATTTTGCGTTTAATTCAAGCTTTGTTGCTGTATCCTGCAGGAGATTTTCACAGCTAGCCTCGTAAACACTAGCGAGTGGTTGCAATTTACCACCAAGATGTGTTGCCGTTTTATGCGCAGGTATGTAACCACTTAGGCCCGACAGTGTTTGGGCTGTTAATACCTTTGGAGGTCCACCACTCAACTCACCAACGGCACATGTACCGGTGGCAGTAGCTTTAGCTGTGCTGCGGGCGTTACTACTTTGTTCTTGTGGTCTTTCAGACTCAGTTCGTTCTAAAAATGCCACAAAAAGATTTTGTTTCTCCTTTTTTGATAATATATCTGTTGGCTCCGTATAAAATGAGTCGAAATTTAAGTCCAGGAACAATTCTTGTAGAAATCGACGTGCGCTCATGCGATAACTACTACGGCCCAGAGATCTACACACCTCTGAATAAAGGCAAATATCTTGAAAAGCAGCTGGATGTTTCTGTTTCAATTCCAGTAGTGCCTTTTTCGATAGTCTAGCGCTGACTGGGTTCGCCAAACGCTGTACGTTAAAGAGTATATTAGCAGTGAGGCGATCGGGCATACTCTCCTCGCTAAGCATACTCTCAGGAGAGTTAAACGAGATGTCTGATAATTGTATAGTCGACGAGCTTTGTATGGATTGTTGTGGTGGCTGTGACGTCGTTTTCGCTTGCGATGTTTGTACAACGGTTAGTTGTTGTGTGGCTGGCTGTTGCTTTTGAGGCTTACGCACGGCATGTGAGGATGTCGGTACACCGACTAGTGTACCACTGCTTGTATAAATTTCACCACCAGTGGCAAGTGCGACACCGGCGGCTGCATCACAGTCAAGACGTTGTGAATGTGTACGATTGCGTCTAGCGCGCGAGCAATGCAGGCAGTTATTACGACCATGCTTAGCGCCCAGCCATTTTGAGCGTTTGCTAACCGATGAAACGTCAGAGAGTGATGAAATCACCGAAGACTCATCACCGCACTCATTATTGAGAGAATCGTTGAGGAACTGTTGATTTGCAGTCAGCAAATTTATATCCATCAAATCCTGATCTTGAATGTCGCGGGACACGTAAGTGCGACCGTGACTACGTGTGGGGAAGAGATCAAGTAGATTTTTCGGAAGACAAATACCTGAAAGAAGGTGCATATAAAAAATTAGTGAATTAGTGAATTGGAAGGACACACATAACTAACGGTTAAAAAATATTAGTTGAGATAAGATACAAAAAAAAAGTCTAAAATTAATAATTTCATTACAAACTTTGTATGTAATTATAAATGTTTGTAAATATTTAATAAAAAAAAAATTTAAATAATCTGTGTTAACCCACCAGCATAACATGGACCCTTCAAATCGTTTTGTGCTAAAAATTTCGGCGTAGCCAATGTGGGCAGTGGTACTTGCTGCAGTTCTTCGAAATCCAGACGCCTGCAAAATATATACAATATCATAAATTACTACTGAATTTCGATTTCTAACGATAAATACTGCTTACGGCAGACGCAGAGAAGATTGCCGATCCAAGCTACGCACTTTCATGCGACGCTGTGATTCACCAAAGGAAGATTTCCGTGGCCGCATCACAGAGGAACCTAATGAGAGGAACTCTATGCGATCGATAATATCGTAAACATCAGTTGCCGACTCAGAAACCATCGGCCGGCAGTATTTTCGCAATGAACGTAATTGTGCATAACCTTTTATATCCGCAGGACTGAGTGAGGTATTCAAATAGGAGGCGCCAACCAAAGAGGTACCACGTAAAAGGAGACTTCTTTGTGGTTGTACATCAACAACAAGATTCGACATGCTCGGTATAGGACTTAGCGGAAATTGTGGAAGATCACTATAAAATGCAATGTGAATACACAGATAAATATTTGTAAAAAAAAAAAAACTATTTGCAAAATAAAAAGCTCACCCTATTGGTATACGCATCGTAACTGACTCACAACTGCTAACGCCCGATGTATTCGAATCGGTGCAAGAGTTATAGCGCACACGATGCCCCGCATGTTGTACACCGATTGCACCAAAATGCGTGCCACTTATTAGGCTGATCACATCAGTAGTTTTCGATTCAGACAATGAGCGCTGATGTTTGCCATAACGCATATATGTACTTTCTGGTAAAGTTTTTGATTTTGCTGCAACTGCGGCAACTTGTGTCTGTAGTGGTGGTTTTGTTGTAGCAACTACATCATCACTAGTCTTACTACTCTCCGCTGTAGTATTTGCATCTTGCGCTTCTGAGCTAGCACTAGCCGCACCGCCATCATGACCGGTTGTGCTACTACTACTCAAAATCAAGTTCCAATAGCTGCCGGTATAGGAACCATCAATTTGATCATCAATACCTGTATAATTGTATGGCGGCATATCTTCGTAATGATGACGCACTGGCGTATAATTATTTGACATCCAATCTTCTGGCTGATGTACGGGCCAAACTGTATTACGATCATGACGTACACTCAACCAATCTATGAAAATTAATACAAATGGGTTAATTCAAATGTTAACGCACAAGTAGTATTGATTAAGAACATACTTAGCTTGTATAGGATATTCGCACCATCGTTGGTACCACCAATTAAACCCAACACACTGAAACAAGTGGCGCGTATCGAGTACACAACACACTTTGTGGCTAGTATTACCAATTTTTCGTAGATTCTAAACGTAAACAAATGAATATGTATTGTTAGAAGTGGGTTGATATGGAAATATATTGTATATAAATACTGTATTCATGTGAAAATTAAGATATTCATATGAAAATAATTTTAACGTTATTGTTTTTATGGTACTTGAAATCTTCGGAACTACATAATTCTAGGCTTTAATAAGAGGGAGTATTCCTTTTACATGAATTAAAGCTTAAACTAGATGAAGTGTAATTTATCTGAAATATTTTTATTTGTTGATTCTACAAGAAAAACTTAATAGTTTCCTTCCCCTCAACGATTTCAATGTGAGCTTTTAATATATATATTTTTTTCCATCCTTTCTGAACAAAATTATTCACCAATTTTAATGCCAACTTCCACATACCTCGATCCTGAATCAACGAAATATTCAATTCCATTCGAGTGCGTTGATGCATGCCCCACAGCCCAAATAGCTGACTTCAATTCCAAGCACTCCACATCGTCTGTACATTTCCCTCGACTCACCACGTCAACTAAATATGCTAAGTCGCCATATTTTTTTAATGCCGTCGTACCCTGGGCTGTTTGCACCATTTGACCATAGAGATGAGGTGGTATATTTGGTGGAATTATAATTGGTCGGGTATTGCAATTGCGACGACTGTAATGCCCATCTTCATTGCGTATGTGTAATGTTAAACTGGAATGTGTATTAGCCTCGACAAGCAGAACATATCTATTTGAAAATTTTGAAGACGCAAACAAATAGTTATTAAAAAAAATTTTGTGTTAACAAATTTATTGTGCTTACTTCTTATTATAGCCTTTCTTCCAGTACTCAATCTCATCTTGTATGCGCGCCTTCAAATGATTTAAGCCACGTGAAAGCGAATAATAACGCGCCATTACTAATCGTCCGCCATCGCCGAGTGACTTTAGATTCGGCCATGTGCTAACAATCTCCTCGAGATAATACTAAACAAATGAAATAATAAACTATTATTAAGGCAATTGCTCGTAAGGAAAACGTCTGTGCGTTACCTTTTCGTGACAAGCCTCTTCAAGCACATCCAATGCCGCTAGAACTACGCTACGATCTTGATCCTTCGTTTGTTGAATAATCAATGGTATGCCCCAAACCTCGAAGTTATGTAGACGTGCACGTAATAATACAGTCAAAAACTGTGTGGCATACAAACGTCCACTACGAACTTTGGCCGTAGTTAAAGCCTTCTCCAGCACTTTGCGTGTTACCGATTCTAAGGAGTAATCTAGACCAGTGACAGCTAGCTTCACATAGCAAACATAATCCGTGTTACGCACTAAATTTATTAAGCTATAATTTGAATACAAATAATTAATGAAATACAGTTAATTAGATTTCATATAAGCAGATTGCCTTATAAATATATATATACATGTACTATATACGATGAACTTACTGCTCAAAAACAGCCGTATCGGTTAAAATCCGAATACCCTTTTGTGCGCGACACATGCGGCCAATGTATAAAAAATACTGCTGACACATTGTACTGGTCATGTGTTGTGGACTAAAGAGACAGTCGTGTGGGCGATTTGATGTGCTGACGGCCAGCAGTTGTTTGCTTATATCCGAAAAATAATCAGTGAGTATACGAATGCTCTCCATCTGCCGGAAAGAAGAGGAAATATGTTAGTGTGAATATTTAACAGAATTTTTACTCCAAAATGCACTAAATTATATTAGTCGTATTTAACAAAGCGACAAATAAAAAATAAAAAAAATAAGAAAAATAAATAAACAAAAAAGAAAACAAAAAAAATAAGAAAAAACAATGAAATAAAAAATTAATAAAAATAAAAGAAATAAAATTTAACAAATTAATAAAAAATAATAAAAATAAAAAAGTAAATAAATAAGAAAAACAAATAAAAAATAATAAAAAAATTAAAATAATAAAATTAAAAATATAAACAAAAATGAAAAAAAAAAATATTAACAAAAATATTATTTTATATAAAATTTTCAACAAAAATAAAAACAAAAAAATTAAAAATAAAATAACTATATAATAAAAAAATAATAATAATAATAAAAAAATAAAAAAAAATTAATTGAAAAATAATAAAAAAAACAAATAAAAATTAAATGAAAAATAATGAAAAATAATAAAAAAACAAAAAAAAAATAAATGAAAAATTATAAAAATATAAACAAAAATAATAGCATTCTTTTAAAATTAAAAATAAAATAAAATAAATAAATAATCAATATAAATATTGAAAAATAATAAACATAAATATTGATAAATAAAAACTAAAATTATTGATAAATAAAAAATAAAAATACGGATAAATTAAAAATTAAAATATTGATAAATAAAAAACAAAAAAATAATAAATGGAAAATAAAAAAAAAAAAATAAAAAAAAAAATAAAAAAAAAAAAAAAAAAAAAAATAAAAAAAATTTGACAAAATTTTTTGCGCAAATATGTTAACAAAAACGCGAAAAATAATATAATATATAATTAGAGTACTTTAATTGCTTATTATAATTTAATAAATTTTTAAACAAAAATCATGTTAAGAAGTGTATTCTGCTTTTCTCATCGAATCCGAGCAGATTTTCTTACTGCTTTGTCTAATTCAAATTCATATCACTATAATAGTTTAAACTGTATATAGTTCGGAATAAATTCTGCTGAGTAATTAACTATATATTTTCTAATTAAAACATCTTTTTTTTTAGTTAAAAAAAAATTACCAAAAATGTTTAAGTGTAAGCTAAATTGTATACACTAACTGAGGGTACACTAACTTACAGTCCTTTAGCAATAGATATTCTTATTCTTTTAGAGTTTAGTAAGCATACCATTGGACTGGCCAGCAGCCAATCAATAAAATCCAATCCAGCAACTACGAATGGTGGTATTGATCTGCCAGGTCTTCCCAAGTCTTGATGAGAGAAACGATTTTTGCTCGGTTTATAATAATCCAAAAGAGCCTTTAGAAAATTATTCGCCGTGTCATCTAAACGGCGCATAATATTTGACTGCAAAAGATGGTATTGGTGAAATTGGCGTATAAAATTTTTAAAATTTATATTCTTTATGTATATATAGATACATACACGCAATATAGTGATAATAATTTCCCAATCCCAACCGTTGCCATCCGGAGAAGCCAATACATTTGAGTCTCGTATCAACCTTGCCACACGCTGATTTTCAAAAAATGGCAAAAGTTTCCGCTTAAAACGAAAGCTTGCACGTCGCGACGATGATGCTTGCGTATTCGACTCATCACTCGATGAAACAGAGTCTAAACGCTGGCGATCGCTTGTTATAAGACCGCCACTCAGTAGACTACCACTTGTATATTGGCCAGACATCGCAGATGTTTGTAATGAATTACCACTAGATGAACGCGCATGATCCTGAGCGTTGATTTCACGACGAAACAAACGTGTTTGTATTAAGGCTGGAAGCGTCAAGAATCATATATATAATTTATTATAACAAAACGAAAAAAGGAAATTAATTTTTATATACAACTATAGTAACTCACATCCCCCTTGTATAATACTATCCAAAAATAAACTACACGATGCAGGACGATTGCGTAGCATTTTTTGGTAATTTTGTAAAGCTGATATTGCGGCGGTGGCATTTTGATTACCCTGAGTTGCATGCGAAATTAGTGTAGGTAATGCCGGACTGGTACTGCATATATCAGCCGGTAAATGTGTATGCATTAAATGCAAAATTTTGCCTTTATAAAACGTAAGGAGGAGAGAAAAAGAAATAATATAGTATATTTGAAATGGTTCAATTGAAATAGTTTACACACCGATTAACACAGTGGCACGCACAGACAGATGCGCATCACTCGATCTGATAACTTCGACTAGTGCATTTAAGAGTCCAGTTTCTAGAAAGCAGTATAATAACAATGATAAGTGTTGTTCACAAATATTTGGCGCACGTGCTGCCAAACTCGGCAATATGAAACGACCTTCCATTGCAACAAAGCCATTGCTGAGCAACCAAGCATCCTGAAATTAGTTTTTTTTTTCGTTAAAGTATCTATATATATTTTTTAGTTTATTGTAAGTACCTGAAAATCTGCAGGATCGACTGTCTGTAGTGCTATCGTATAATCATCAGTCCAGGGTGGTTGCGGAACATTTAACAGCTCATAAAGCAAGTCCAATATTGCTTTCTGTAAAAAGAGATATAAAAAATTAACAAAAAAATTAAAAAGTTTTGGTCTAAAAATCGTTAAAACAAACTACGGCTTCTGTATTAATATCTTCGTATCGGAAACATTGAGTTCCCATATTATTTATATATCATTGGCGCTTTATCACATATTTGGAAATATATTTTCTATAATTTTAGAGAAATCGGGATCGGAACTCAAAATTATGACCGGATTATAGCGCAGACTGCCTGTCATATCGGTATGTATTTTGGAGTGTCGAACGACAGCCCTCCTAAAGAGGCAGATATACCACTAATAATGGCAAACCATATCAGCCAAATGACCGTCACGGTTATAATAACAGGGCCGACCGTATTATTTATATGAAAATTTCCATCAACAAACTGCTGCTATATGGCGTCAACAGCTTTAGGAATTTTATCTTTGAGGTCTTAAATCGAAATTGACGTGACTCTGAAATAAAGAGTCGCTAGGTGTTAAATAACATGAGCTCGATGGCCAATAGCGATCACCTCTTCATCGCTCCAGCCTGATTTCCGTAAAAATAAGATACAAAAATTCCCACGTACCATAAACTACACCGAATGGTTGGATGGAGAGGTTTTTTAACAATAAATCTTGAGTTTTACGAGTCCCAGATGCAGCAGTTTTGCTTAGTGACGTAGTCATCGAGGTGGAAATGGGTCTCATCAGTCAAGATGATTTTTTGGTGAAAATCCGGTTATTTTTCATGCTTTTCAATGACCTAATTGGCCCAAGACACGACTTTGTTGATGATCCTTCGGCTTGAGTTCTTGTCTTAAGTCAACTTTATAAGCTTTAAGACTGACAAAAGTCCTTATGCAAAATACAGTGCAATGACGTCTGTGGAATACCCAATTCCAAAGGATAATCAAGGACAAACCTGGATTTCTTCAATCTCAGTTGATGAGTTACGTGCACGTATTTTATTCTTCACTTCGCTAACTTGTCCCTAAAGTCAAATTTTTCCACCAACTTTTGTCTTCCTCCACGAAGACCGTCAAATGATCTAGCTCCATAAACCGTCTCAGCCAGGTTTTCACAATTTTTATAGTGAAGCGTGTATAGCTTCATTTTTATTACTGGCGCAGTTTTTACTTATCAAATGTCAAAAAATTACAACTTCAGACAGAAGTGACATTTACCGGAACAACATACCCATCAAAATAACACCTCTTATTGGAAAACTCTTTACTTGCCAACATCGAAAATTATCATACAAAGTTGATTAAATCAGTCATTAATTAATTATTAATTAACTAAAAATTAATATTTTTTCGCACTCACTCTAACTTCCAATTGATTAAGATACAGGGTATCTACTATTGCTTTCAATCCCGAGGGCTTACTGGGGTTACAGAACTCAATGGTGCCCGTCCAACTGCGTAGTACCGACAACAGTGCTAAGCGGCAACTGGTATAACGTAATTCACGAGCATCTCTGTAGCGGAAATAAATAAAATTTTATTTATAAGTACAAAAATTAAAAGCCGTTAACATACTTATTTTTATCCATTATACCCAAACGGTAGGTAAAATCGCAATATGGAGCAGCGAGGCAATCCAGCCGCACACCCGATATGTTACGCGTTTGTGGCCATTCCAGTAAATACAGCAGTACGCCACACAAACTCTCAGCGATACGTGGATTGTGACATTCTAGGATATTGCGCGTAATTGCTGTAACGCCACCGCAGACGATCAACATTGCAGGATTTAGTACAGCCAACTCACATAGAGTTGCCAGACAGGCGCGCAGCATATTATCGCCATCATCAATACCGCTATCAGCAAGTGAGACTAAACAACGCACCAGTACCGGGTTGATATCGGTCGGCGAAATGGCCAACATTTTGCGTATCTGAAAAAAAAACAAAGGTGAAAAGCAAAATATAATTAGAGTTATACTCGTATATTCGTATGTTAAATTTAATGAAATTTCAGTTATTTATATATTCATTTGTTTTTCTCACCAATTTCAGCGCTTGGGCACGTTCATCATCATTTTTCAGTAACACATCGATAGAGCGGCATATTAAATGCTGAAGTTGCATAGAGTTGAATATTTTGACATCACGTGGTGTGACCAACGCATAACGTATGGTACGCAAGGCGGCTGCACGCACTTGGGTAAATGTGTGGATTAGTGAGGCGCTTAATCTGAAAGATGCGAATATAAATAAAAATATGTTTTAATAAAATAATGGAAAGTTCTGGGGAGCTCCGTGAGACCGTAGGTGTCTGTTGATCACCCAAAGTGGGTAAAGGAGCTAAAGGCACTGCCGTGGAGGCTGGAGGGGATGTTTGGGCGCTGGCAGCATGGGGCCACATAATTTGTGGTTCACTCCCTGTGGACCTTAAGGCCTGAGCAGGTCTTAAGATGACTCCAACCATTGCACTGGTTGCACCTAACCGAGTTGGTGGAGTGGTGAAGTCTTTTTTGACACACGCAGCAGAAGTAGTCCGTCGGACCAGGGTTGGTTTTGACGCCGGCCCTGATAAGCAGGAATTTGGAGCAAGCCAGCTGCAAGGTGTTGCTCCGTTGGCGAATTTACACCAATGTTACCTGTTGATCTAAGCGGCATTAGTAAACCGAAAGGCCCTTGGCCGTATAAAATCCGGATCAACTCCGTTGCGTAGAGTTGGCTGTCGTGAGAGTCGCACTCAGGATCGTGGCAGGAAACTTTCTGATGTCGCCAGAGCATCAATTGCACAGCGCAGCATCTATGCTACGAATTAAGAGAAATAACGCGTTGCTATACAAAAAGTCCTGCTGAAAAGCTACCGTAGGCAATACCACAACAGACACTTACGAGAAGCTGAACCACCAACCAGCCACCTTAAGAACTTCATTCAGCACCACCTACAGCAACAGCTGAACTGAGCAGCCTACCGACATCGTCATTTACCGATAGTTCGTCAACACTTTCCGGAACTCTCTTACAGTGAATGGTATTTTCGGAGTCCAACCACCATTTAATGCAGATGAAGAGCTCGAATTGCCTGGAGAGTATCGCGTAATACTGGCACAAACTAAATATTGGATATTGTAGTAGATGAAACTCCTACCTATCCAGACTTGACTTCGACACAACAACACAAACGCATGCCCTGCCTGCAGTGAGTGCCCGCAAGCCCCATTAAACCAACTCTTCTAACCCTTTATTTTCCTGTGGTCTGCAACACGCCGAAACGGCTCGTTTCCTGGACCTTTCGTTAAATGCTTTCGATGACTTAACGACTGATCTAACCTGCTCCTAAGCGGGTTTAGCAAACCGCTACAACAACAATAACATCAACAGTCATATACTCGGGTGTTTCTGATGTTCAACAAACCAAGATTCAAAGACAGTGTTAACAGTTTGTGGGCAATGAGTTCAATACCAAGCTAAACCAAATGCAACCGCCCCTACCCAAGGAATATTAGGTTTCCACAAAAAATCGCCTGTTGTTCAGTTGCGGCTTAAAACTGCAAGTCTCCTTCATGTGTGGACAAAACATCAAAAAGAAAATCTCATATCGTTGACGTACGCTTGTATAAATATATGTTTGAGTATCAGCAAAACCCACACAAGACGAATTGCTTCCATTTCACTTCGACTGAAAATTATGCCCAAATAGTATTAGGCTCAAATTTCAACCAATACCCCCTTCCTTTCCGGTCTACGTAAAACCAATTCAGTTGATACCATAAATTGAATTACACGTTAACTCTCATGCATATTGACACTTAACGCAAGTCTTGTTGTTGTTGTTGCAATAAATTTTTTAACTTAAAATATTCAACTCACCCATAGAGCAATTCTTCCGTGTTAAAGCCCAAATTGCTCTTTGCAGTCGGCTGCTCCGACTGTTGTTGTTGGCAGAGTGTGGCCAACGCATTAAGCAATAGTAAGCGCTTCGTGTCGCGTGTGTCACGACAACATAGCGCCGTATAGATATCATAAGCATTTTCTGCATTCGATTTTCTTGGATCTAGCTGATATCTGTCTTCGGGATCTTGTGGATCTGCAATAGGAGAAAGAAAAAATATTAAATAAAAAATTGAATAAAATTATTTTACATGAGAATTCTACAACACTTCAGTTTAATGCATTAATTCTTATTATACAAAAGTAATTATTTGATAATTAGTCAGTAAGTATTAACACTAACACGATCATTGCAAATTGCTAGTGTCTAAATTAATTTATTGCTTTTGATGTAGCCGCCTGGTAACTGACGGCAGCAGTAGATTGTAGTAGATTGAACAGCAGCTGGGTTAGGTGAGGTTGAACTGGCTGACGGGTCGGGTGACACATAGATGATATTACGTTCATAGTGTTGCCAGACGCACTACATACTATCAAGCTGTACTAACTCCACTTTTTATTGCTTCTAGCGTGAAGAAAATTACGGTTCCTTTTGCAAATTGAAGTAAACGTTTGACCATTCCCGATTGAAGGTCCTGTAGCTTTTCTGTGCCGAAAAAGCATAGCCATTTGCCTGTCGCATGCTGGATATTCACAGATTACATGCTCTATTGTTTCCACAATTATTTTCTTTTGAACAGCAGTAGATTAGACAGCAGTGCATACCAGAAAACCATAACCCGATCCCTAGACAAACCTACGCCCAAAAAAATATTTCTTAAAGCAGTCGACAAGAAATTTAAATGCTTCTGGTTTGGTAATAGAAGCATCTCAAGCCCAAACAAAAAACATCCATAAAAACTCAGTTGTAAGTCGGTTCAAACCTGAGTGTAGGCCCTTTCAGGAAGTAATAGGCAAAATTTAAGACCGTACGACAAAAGTTCGGTGCGAACTCAGCCGAAAATCGCTTATGCGACTATGAAGCTTCTATTTTTTGTTAGAATCTATACGACAGTCAATTCTAACCTTGATTTCAGGTACTGCATCTGTCTATCTATTGCCAACAGCTGGTACTTTGGACTGAGTAGGCAAATGAAAAATAAAGTCCTCTCTCGACGAACACAAATTAAACTCCACAAGTCTCTTAGCAGTCGTCGAGAGAAAAGTCTCATGGTACAATTTATGGTCTCTTACGCATTGGCAAGGATGAATAGCGCCGACGATGACATGACATACTTCAGTGAATGAAAAGACAGACATGTCATGCGAATGGATGAAAGTGCTCCAGCTTTGAGAGAATTCGATACAATATACTCGCCGGTTGAAGGAGAGGATGAGAAAGATATCCACTGCGTTAGTGTGATCAGGCGAAGAGCGAGCTGGTTTCACTTAGTGTTTCCAACTGCCGCCAAACAGCAAGAAAAAGGGAAGAATGTCGCGCTTTGTTGATACTGCTATATTCACGTAAGCGTTGTCTACACCAATGAAAAAGCAGAAGAGAGATAGAGGGATAGAGGCTGCGCAGCCGAGTTTTCAAACGTTTGGGGTTCTAAAGACGACTAGTGTGTTAGAAAAGACTTTGGCTTCAGCGGTGAGCGAATCAACGCGTCATTAAATAGATTATTAAGGAGTCTCCAAGCTATGAACTGGTCTGTAGAGGACGAAAAAGATGGTCCGAAGTGACGTATTTTTACGCTACTTCGATCGAATTAATCTAGTTGCTGAATTAACGCCGCAAAGTTTGTTAACTTACTACACAGTTTCCAGGGTAGGTTTCAAAATGGCAGTAAGACACTTACGACAGATACCATTTAGCTCACTTGAGACTGTGTGAAGTCCTTCATGGTCATACTTAAATGCATACCAATGTTCGTTATTAAGGTGTGAAAGTTACAACAACAACAAAAAAACGCCGAATGGACAACTTAACTTTAAACAAAACACAAGGAGGGTGGAAATTTAATACTGCGGCACTAACCTAGGACACGCATGGAACTTGCTAATACAACGGTTTAGCTGCTGTTGCACTTTACGAGTATTTACAGAGAACAACGACCCTTCGTTATTCACACAATGCAACCAACCACTGATGTTTCCCCCCTTGAGTACGTTTAAAAAATGCAAAAATGCATTCAAACGCATATCTGGGTTAAGTGTTTATGCCGAGACAACCATAAACTCGATAGTTACGCTTGCAATACATCTACACATATGGCTCGTCTACGCAATTTTAGACCAGAACAAAAAAAAAAAAAAACAAGAAAATAATAATAATTAAAAGCGTAGCAGCTTTAAGTACATACATATGTACACTTCAATTGAAAGAACAAAAAAAAAAAAAGAAAAATTGCAACTCCATATAGAGGCCAACGCCAGCTTCTGTCATGTCTGTGGCAAACGTTTGAGCACAAGCAGCAAAAGAAGAAGCACAGGGGATAAAATTTCATTTTCTGAATGGATTTCGAGATGTCACTGAAATGTAAGAGCCCTCCTGACATGCACACATTCAATACATATGTATATACTCATGTACATACTACATGAGTATAAGTTTAAGTAAATGTGGCAAAGCGACACCGAGTTTGAATGTTGTAATGCCCTGTCGGACTACCCAGTACGAGTTAGTTCCAATCTTCCAATCAATAAAATAGATTCACTGTTAAGAGTTCTTACTTTGAATTCGTGGATAATTTCGTCTATCTGGAGACCAGCATTAATACCAATAATAACGTCCGCCTTGAAGTCCAACGCAGAATCACACTTACCAATAGGCTACATTGAAAAGTGGACTTTCCACTCCCGACGAATAAAGATTAAACTCTACAAATCGCTCGTTAAAACTCTCCTCTCGAAAACCGCCAGAGCCGATTTATGCAGGCTTCTCTTTAGCAAAACAGGCATAATAAGTGACTTGTATAGTTTGGTTTTGGTACGTCGAGAGAGAGAGAGAGAGAGAGAGAGAGAGAGAGAGAGAGAGGGAGAGAGCTATACTCTTCAATAGCCAACTCAATCCAAAGTAGCACCTATTGGTTGATTCTACGTTGGAAATTTAGGTTATGTTAAATAAAAGTTGCTGATTCTAAGAGGATCTCACCTACACAAATCAGACTGGTTTGATATCACAAAAACCAAAAATATCCTGGACACTAGACCACTTTTGCTTTAGCGCATTACACAAATTTACAAAATAGCATAATGTCAGTGTCTGTTAAATCTTTTTGATTGGTAAACCCATGCGGTCTGATAATTTTCAGTCATAGTCTCGTAAACGCCGAAATGACTTGAAATTTTACCGCGAAGAAAAATGCTGATTCCATTATTTTCTTCAAACAACTACGACAGTGGGGATCCGGTAAAACCCCAAGTCTTACCACGTGAGTTCCCATCGATAAATACCCAGTTTAGATTTTGGAATCGAAAGCAGTTTCCCTGATCTGCCACGGCCAACCTTAGACCAAAAGGAACCATCCATGTTGAGATATTAGCCTCTCGCACGGTGATTTGATTTAATGCACACTGGTGCAGAAGCAGACCACAAGTTGATAGAGTAGCACTTTTGCTCGACATTAACGAATCGGTGATGCGACCGTTATGAGCCCGTAAGAAAGAAGCGATTTGCTGAATACTACTGTGAGCAAAAAGTAAGTTGAATTTGTTTGTAAAATGAAAAATTTGTATATATTCTTCTACATCGATTTCGTCGCCTTCGAAATAGTTTCCTGCCCATGCGATGCACTTATGCCAACACTTTTTCTAATTATCGAAGCATATCAAATAGTCACGTTCTGGTATGGCCTTCAGAGAGCGCGCCGATTCACGTTTAATCTCCTCAATCGACTCAAAAAGGTGTCCTCAAAGTGGTCTCTTGAGTTTTTGGAAGAAACAGAAGTCTTATGGTGCTAAGGCCGACGAATACGGTGGTTAGGGAACGATATTCGAGGAATTTTCAGTGAAATGGTGACGAAGAATGAGTGCTGTGTGATGCAAAAACCACGAAGGCACTTTTAGTCAATGACTGGATTCTGTCGATCGAATGAATGAAATCACTCGATTTTGTAACTATTCGATGCAGTAATCGCTGTTGTAAGCAGAAGAAGACCAAGACCTCAACTCGATTAGATGGATCATTTTTCGTTTGGTATATCCAATTGGCGCAAAACAAAAAAACCCATGGTTTTAAGAAGAAAAAAAACTGGTCCACTTTATTTCTAACAACCCGCCCGGAATGGAAAGTTTTGCTATTCAACTAGTTTTGAGGCGATCGAAATATATGGTTGTACCTATCTACAGGCTTAGTCAATCTAAATCGCCGAGGACATTTAATGGGAGGTCCAGGAAACGTTTGAGGGGGCATGTAAAGAGGTGGTTAGTGTCGTGCAGAGACTCTCCATATGCAGGGCACACGTTGGATATGCGGAGGTTAGCGAAACATATGGTAATCTTTAATTATAGAGTGTATGTAACATCAGTTCCCAAAGGAGCTTGTATATTTTTGCCAGGTTATCTAGAAGGCGTGAGAGTTCAGCACTATCATGACGTAGCATAACCTCTTTCAAAATTGGCAAGATCAGGTTTTTCCTGATTTTTTTTTTTAATATTTGACGACAGAAGATATACCAATCAATAGCATCTTGGAAAAAGCTCAAATTAGATAATATCCACTCCAGACATTATCTTCTTTTGGTGAATATTGCCTTTGGAAGCACCTTTTGCTTGGTGTATGGTCGTTTCTGGGCTAAGTTATCGTGAACATCCGGGCTTTCACCGCATTTTTTTGTATTAAATAAATAATATATATCAATACCACTACTCCTTAACAATCCATATCAAAATTTTATAATTTTTAATCAACTTGTACCGCTCTAAAGTCTAATACTGACCAGAGCATCATGAGTCTAAACTCAGGCTAGAGTAATCTGGAAAAAAAACAGGTTTATCTTCTGAATTCGATCACTGCGAGCTTCTCTCAAATATTCATCCTCCTCTCAAAGACCTGCAATTCTTTCCAGACACATAACAACTTATTGTATATTCGCTTAGCTTTTCCAACTGGGTAACTCTAAATTTATGATCTGTACCTCCTATAGATGTAACACTATACATCAGTTTACAGCGATACATTGGGTAAGTGCTAAAGTGTAGTTAACAGTGAAACCG